GTGTCAACCAGAAAAATTAATGGCAAAGAACACTTTTTTTTGCACAGGTTAGTCGAAAAGAAACAGTAAAAAGGCCACGAAGTTATCATGTATTGAGAAACCCAAGCTCAACAATCGAAATTTATCTCAAACTCTACTACCACACGGTAACTAAGGACATGGGAGGGAGAGAGGTTCTATATGAGAGTATTCGACGCTACCTTTGTCGATGGAGGTACCTTTTGTATGCTTTCGAACAATTGATTCGCTCCAAAATATCATTAGGGTGGAAAGTGAAAAGTTCAGTATCTATATGTATTATGTATCTATATATCTATATGCTTCAAGATGATAATCAAGCTCACATTTCTTAGACCCACTTATACCAAACTCAAAAATACATATGCCCCTAGAGGGAGACTATGTATCATTGCCTACCAGTGTCTCATAGGTTCGGAAAAGCGCTTCTCTCTAATACGTAAACCAGACTGCGCCCCTTATCTCGGAGGGACTGTGCGCTGTAGACTTCACTATCAGTTATCCAGAAATTCATGAATAGGCATTGGCTTGGACTTTTGCGAAACACCAGCACTGCTGTTCTATGAATCTCGAGAAGCTCCTCTGACGATTCCCTAAGATTGGACACTTTATTGAGAGACAAGTTTTATGGGCTATCTGATTTAAGTACATTTGCCGTTTCGTATAGGATACATAGATTTACTCATCGCGTAAAACTGTCAATAAATTATTTGGTAGCGTCTGATTAAATACCGTGGATTGGCAGTCTCTATTTGCGTTGCTCAAGCACAGAGAAGCTCGGAGGAAGACGTAGAGATTGAATAATAGAGAGAGAGAACTCACTAGAGACCATTGTATCGAGGAACATTACAGCCATTCCCATGCAAGACTTTTTCCGATGAAGACAAATTGTTATACTTCCTTGCAAGGAATGTTAATTCCACAATATCAAAGTTTGGTGTATGTTGTCTATAACGTGTTGACATTCAATAAACAATTTTCAATTTTAGGGAATCGTTCTCATGTACATTGTCTCTTGAACGCAGAGGTTTGTATATCAGGACAGGTGGCAGTGCGAGTACTCAGTTCTTATGGATATTTCTGCTTGACCCACTGTTAGTAGTGGCTACATTTACTCCTACCATCTTGCCCTTTTGGGGCATTTAGCTATAGTGGGGAAAACGGTTTCTCCTGAATGGGTGTAATTAGCATCTTTTTTGCTATGGTTTTGGTATCATGGTCACAAAGTGTGAGCTGATTTTCATCTTGGAAGCATGAATTTGTCAATTTTGTCTTGTGGCACTTTCACTTGTCTATACCAAAAAGTACCTAAAGCAGTAAAGAAATGATGAAGTCATTCAATAGAGTCTTTGCTCTCACTTTCGTGAATTTTACTTCACTAACGCAATGTTTTGCTGTATTTAACTCCTTCAGACCTTTGTAAATTTGATTTGTTCCTCTTGGATTATCTTTATAGCTCACTGGCTGTTCGCTGTTTCAACTACTGGCAAAAAAGGGTGTTTTTGCCAATTATTTTCCGAGCTGACCAGCACCGACTTGCAAAAAGGTCACTATTTCGATGAGGAAATTCCAATAAACTTTACAAGTCACAACAACTATTGACTAAGTCGCTGCTTTAACTGCTGATATGAAGATGGGAATTTGAAATAAATATTCAATACCTGATGAAGCATATCAAACTTCGCATAGTTAATAGTTGAGATAATTTCTTGTTTTCATCGTCTATTTGCTTGCGCTATTGCACGTCGCGAGAAGAGAGCGTACGGCCCTCTGAGAAGCCAATACATTAAGGGGCACTTCGATACAGTACTTGGATTGCATTTGTTGCATTTCACACCTTCTATAATGTTTGGAAATATCATGTATAGTCATGAATCTCACTCAAGCATGTGCATCACATCAAGCATCCATTCAAGAATATTATGGCGTGAAATTGTCCTCTTGCACACTGAGTACATCGAGTCTTCTCACTCATCTCTCTATTTCTGTCACTTCGGTTCGCTCTCTATTCGTCTAATCGTCAACAGATCAATATCCTGTTAAATGTAATATTGAACTATGTGAATGAATTAGCTTTACACATGCTATTCTCTTCAACTATGTCCTTTCTCTCAGGGATTATTAAGTGTTGCAGAGTCCACTTGCTTGAGTGTACCATCCGAGCGAAACGGCGTATGCAATGGAGAGGGCATTTCACGCCACACGAAGTGAAAGTAATAGCATATATTGCTGCACAGCGAAGCATGCACTGTGTAAAGCGCATTGTAATTTGCGAGAGATACTTGGGAGCAGGCGTATGGCCTATTGTTGAAGGCACTATATAGCGGTAATTTTGTAAGTGTTGAGGGTACTTTTATAACTAGGATGAAAAGCACGACCGATAGACATAGGCGAAGAAAATTTGAAGAGAATTTTGTCGGGAATGGAACACTTGTGATATATATTACATAGTTAATATATGAAAATCCCGATCCGTAGTCTAATCGGTCTGGACTATATCACACTCCTGATCTTCTGGGCACATAGTGGTGATGTTTTCCCACCTATACTTTTCTCGTACACATCATATTGGATTTCCCATTATGGGCACATCCAGGCGAGCAAACACAGAAAATATCTAAGGCAAGTACTTACGCTCCGCTTCTGGATTTGATCAGAGTGAACAATATCTAGTCTATACTGTGGGCTTAATGGTGAGACATATATGTAGGCGATGCAAGTGGCAACTATTAGAGGGTGTAAGTATCGATTCAATGCTATTGGGTTAAAGTTTCAGGACAGTCCCCGGCCAAAGGAGGTCACTAGAAAAGTATTCGAGAGTGTTGGGTTTGTTTAACTTTTGAAGGGCATAAACTGGAAAATTACCAGATGAGATAGTCACGTTCAAAAGCTAATTGTTTGAACACACGCCTCTATGAGTGCCTTTTTGGATCCCAAAATAGTATGCGAGGTGTGCGTCACAAATTAGACCGTGTGTCACCTGTTTGGGAGGTTGTCCTCAATTTATGTTGTCAATTTATAATTTTTATTCTTATATTTATTCACTTTACACATGACAGTAAAGCAAATTGGCTAAAAAGTAGCATAGGTCCAAGAGCATGAAGGAATTCAGACGCATTTTGTCGATGTATCTCAAAGAATCAAAAGCGCAATACAGTGCGGATCCCTCTCTCAAGAGGCCAGATACGTCATATGGATGTATATCTTATCTAGGTGAAGTTTTTTCTTCTTTCCCACGATAGAATGTGAGGTTTGATAAAGGAGGCTGGAATGTAATCTTCCACATATTGGCCAATAAATCTAGATCTGCGACTGGCCATTAGCTACAGAGATATCATTTTTGGTTTATAGAGCGACGTCTTGTGCCTAACTCATAAATCTCCGATTTCTTCCTAAAAAAATCTGCCATTCCCTAATTCGTCGAACTTTGCTAACTCTTTTTCGGCTATGATTCAATTATAAATCAAAAAAGACATCAAAAAAAAGCAACACATCTTTTGGCCCAAAAATAGAAATTCTAAGGGTGGAATCTAATAGGGTGAGGGAAATATCAGTTATAGGGAGCTTCTAAGATAATCAATTTTCCGATATGTTGTCACAGTAATATCACTTATATATATCGATATGGGTCATCGGATTAAAATATTGTAAACTGACACACATACCCATTTTATTCTTTGATTTTTAGTCGAGTGCGAAGCTGCACCTGCTTGGTTTTATGTAGAACGGACACATACACGAGTGTGGAGTCTATTCTTAATAATGGGAGGGAATATAGTTATTGGCCGTTTCAAGTTCTGGCTGCTTGGAGGCAAAATTAATTTTTATTTGGTCTTTATGTTCGGGCTTTTCTTTTGTGTAATAGGTTATATTATCTTAGTGCAGAGTACTTTTTTTAAAAATTTTAAAATTATGGTGTTCTTTGATATGGAGAAGTGTATAAACCTTTATTTAAGATGCTAATTCTTGAGAGGAAACATAAATATTTCTAATAAAATAATTGAAATAAATAAGATTGACAGCAAAAATTAATTTAGAAGAGATATTACTCACACTAATTATGTCTCTCTTCTTTTTGAAACTCTATTTGCATTTGGGTGTATTGCACTTAATGAGAGGTTCTTGTCATAAACAGATACATAACTTTTTTTAAGGTGGGTTGAATTTTTATATGTTCCAGGTGTACCTGTCAATAAAAATTTTCCTAAAAGAACAGAGTTTAGAGCTTAAAATATTAAACAAGACCACCAGAGGCTATGGTGTAGCTAACCATAAACAGTATAAGATACGAAAAATAAACAGAAATAAAAATTATCGGGTTTGTGAAAATAACCTGAGCTACCCGGATAGAAGGTCAGGGCAATGCAAACCTCAAAACCAAGGGAGTGGGATTATTATTTTTATAACAACCTGGAAGCTAACCAATTATTTATATTAATGGAGACGGGTCTAGGTGCATTGCTCGGTATGGGGTCATGTCGACTTTCAACACCACCTACTCTGATAAACGTGACGGCAGCCTATACTTTGCTGGATAATCGCAGTAGTTTAAGAAGATCACGCTTAGTTTTAACCTCAACTCACATGACATATGCTCCCCTTTGCCATTCTAAAGAAACCAGTAAAAGAAAAGTATGTAATGTATAACCCTTTTCTAAGACTGCTGTTGTTATGTGCGAAACAACTCAAGGCCTCCTCTGCACTATAACGTAAGCTCGAAGGAGAGCACAGAATGATAACTCTCTACACTTACGTAACCGCAACAGCACATAAGGATGTGGTGAATATACATCTATTAGCGTAATTGAAACTAATTTGGAGTTAAACATAAATTGTGTAGCCTACGATATAAGAATTGGCTGATTGTTTCTGTACATCAAGGAGAACATTAGGATTGAAATTTAATGACTAAGTGATGTCTGGGTGAATTTGTCACATAAATGTTAAAAAATTGTTTGAAGCGGTATGGGGCGTCCCTAACAATGACAGTAGTCGTGACACCTGATGAAGAGGAAAAGACGTAATTAGTTAAACTATTCGATTGTATCCATAAGAGTACACCTAAACAGATACATTTGGGCTTCTTACTTATAGGAAGGTTTATCCTCCTAATTTATTATGTTGAATAATGTGCACATAAAGCTGCATCGTGATTATGAAGATGTATAGGGATTAATTATGTTTGTATGGGCACCATATTTTAAAAGCAAAGTGGTGAGAGTTTATAATGAGGAATATATGATGATTTATGATACAGTCCATTTAGCTATGATCGTACCATTTTAGACTATAGGGGCTATTTCTCTAATTAATTTTGTTATATTTATCCCCTTTATATTTAATTATCAAAGTTCTTCTGCTATAGCACTGGGAGAAATTATTTGTACATGATTTGTTAATTATATACTGTTTCTTTTTATTTTTTTTAATTATACATTACACACAAATATATTGAACACTTAATACCAATTATTAATAAGGGTTGAGGGTCATTAACTTGCTGGGTAACACACTGAAAAAATGTATGCTGGTCCAATGGTTGTAAGCCTAATCTAATGGATGGGCTTCCCTATATTATTTCTTAATATTATCTAACAAAAAATATAATAATAGTTTACTAGAGGGAAGAACTGATGCTGCACTTTGTCACTAGAATTATTTGGACGAAAATTCATCCTACTTATTGATATGTACATTTGAAAAATGGCGGCTTGTATAAAATTGAGAATGGTTCATTGTATCAACTCTATAAAAATTGTCAAATTTAATGAATAACATATCACATGCGATTTCAAGAGCATATGAAGATCTGTTATGGTGTAATTAATGGTAATTTTAATTCAATTTAATTCTCAAAAATCGCATCCGGCTTTATGAAGAGAGTGCCTACACTTCAAGAGAGAACTAGGAGAGATTAATTGTACCAAGAGGTCCAGTCAATTTGGAAAGAATCACGTATTTATTTCTTCCTAAAACTGTATTTTTTTTTCTGAAGTAATATAATAAAAAAAATCTACTCCCTAATTTCTATCTGTAATTACCCATCGTTGGGGGTGTAGGAATACAGGTGCTCAAGTACACAACAAGATCACCATATCAAAATCCATGTCTCCATCGTTCTTGTATGGCAGAGGAATCAAGTAAGTGAGCTCACAATGGCGGGAGACTAGCGCAATAGACGATTCAACGATTCCATGAAAAGGAAAGCAATAGCGAGATAGAGGAATAATGCAGAATAACTGAATACGCCACAAGAAGAGGCAAAACGGATGACACTGTCTATGATTACTATACTCTGCTTCAATTTCTCTCCATGCTATCGCCTCTATCAGCCACAGGCTCCCAAAATCCTCTCTCGGAATGTCTCTGCATCTCTCTTCCATTACTCCATGCAATTCCTCATATCGGTACCCTCTCCTCTCTCTCTTCTAATATATATATATATCTATATGTATATGTGCTGTAACCTGACTAGTAGACTCAAAGTGATTTCTAGGGTTTGTGGCGTCAATATTCGAGGTCTGACCATTCGTCGTGCGTAGTGTCGTTCGGCTGACGGTGCGTGAGAGGAGAATGGCCAATAGACAGGTTTCGACATGCCAGTGCTTTGCAACTTCGGAATCTATTTCGTACCTGTCGCAGAAGGGAAGCAGCCAAGATCGATGACATCCTCATGGGTCTCTGGCTTCAAGTGTCGATCAGTAATGGGTCAGTCTTCAATTTTATTCTTCATCCGCTCTCATTTCCAAGTCTATCTTTTATATGCAGTTCTTGGTTTTATCAGGAATTATGGGTTGAAGTCAAATGCAATCTTTGTGTTATTCTATTTCAGGAATCTGGTTTGAGTGTGCTACAGCAATTGCAGATGGTAAACTTTTTTGGGTTGCCATTGCGTTTTCTAATGTTTTGGTTGTTGCATTTTCATCAAATTGCCTGCATGTGGTTGTGTGTGTGGTGTGAGAGAGAGATGAGAGAGAGACGAGGAGATGAGAGAGAGAGTATTGCTCATGTGCTGTGATGACATATTTTGATTCACAAAGCCGTAAAAGCCGTATTTGTATCTTGATGTCATCAGACATGTTGATACTCGACGAGAGTCACTAGTCGTCATCTATGTTGTTTTGATGGTATTATCTTATCTTATTGTTTTATTTGATTCCTTGGACTCCGTTATCACCTATTGTGAATTCTTTCTCCTTTTGTATCAAACTATATTTTGTTGTAGGCTTGTACTCTTGTGACCTCTTCAATGTATTCTTGAGATATTGAAAAAGTTTTGTTCTAAGATTCTCCTTATTTCCAAACTTTTGTTTACTGAAATTTGCCACCGAAGCAAAAATATGAACCATGCCCCTTGCTGATGTCTAATTTGGACCAAAGAAAAATATTTTGTTGTATGACACAAAGATAAAACTTTTACAAGTTCTTTTATGACCTCACCTACCTCTTCATGAATAAGATGGTCAAGTTATTGGAACAGTCTTGATGGACTAACCTACATGACAGAGATAATTGTGCCTCTCCACAGTGATTGAGGCCTATTGTTTGTATTCATAGGAAATGAGATCCAGTTCAAATGTATTATCTGCTTGGTCTTCTTTTTTTGTTCAATGGCGAGTGTAATCGACTATCATGTCATTTATGTGCTCATCTTTTTGTGTGTTTACTCTCTTTCAATGTTTTCTGAAGTTTAATGTAAAAGAATAGCGTTCCTTTGTAGAATTTTTTTATGTAACTGAATATAAATTATGGCTTTATTCTTGGTTGTTGACATGTTGTTGATTGCGTATTTTGGGACAGAATTCACGGCATTTGTATTGCCGTAGGGATATGAGGTGCATGAACTCCCAAACTGAAACATTATAGTTTGAATCAGACTAGAGTGGGTACCTTTATGGCAACAGATTTCACTCCTGTGTTGTTGTGGACCTTGGTGTTGCAAGATTAGAGTTGTGGCACTTGTTGGATAGAGAGCCTTGTGACTGAATCTTAAGTACATTTTTTTTGATAAATAACTGAATCTTAAGTATATTACAGTGTGTTGGGAGATAAAGTGGTCTATTTTTGCCCTTTTTTCTCTGCAACTAAATATGGGGGCTTGATGGTTCATAATTTTCTAAGTGAGAAATAGTACTTTCTGGAAATTTAAGGGCCTGATTCAATTTTTATGGTGCTTACTATAATAATGCTTTTGACAGGTCTACAAATCAAGTGAGTATAAGCGAGTTCTTGTGATTTGTGGTCCTGGCAACAATGGTGGTGATGGTCTAGTAGTTGCTCGTCATCTACATCACTTTGGATATAAACCATTTGTTTGTTATCCAAAGCGTACTCCTAAACCTCTTTATGATGGTCTGGTGACTCAGGTATGTCAATGGGACTCAAGTTGAAATATTGGTGACATATTAGTTTACATATATATATTTTTTGCAGAAGTGCTTATTTGTTGTAGTAATTGTAGCTGGAATCATTGTCAGTGACTTTCCTGTCAGTGGAAGATCTGCCCAATGACTTATCAAATGACTTCGATATTCTAGTAGATGCAATGTTTGGGTTCTCATTTCATGGTAATTTCTTTTTATTAGTTTCTGAGAATTCTTTTCCAGCATCTGCGTTTTCCTTTTTCATTCATTCAAAGTTTGTTTTTTTCCCCTGCAAGGGCAGGGAAAGTTTAGAAGATTCCTTTACATGTTAATCATTATAGTTTGCTATTTTATTGATGATATCTATATTTTCTTATTAAACTTTCTATAAAGAATTTCAGCTAGAAAGCTGAGACAGAATTTAGAAGTCTTTAAATGGTGTTGGTAATAAGAATATATAATTATTATGTGTCCTAGAATTGTATGAATGACAATAGATTTACCACGTCTTTCCCAGCCGTACTTATCACAAAAATCATATCCTTACCAACCATATAATTAGCAACTAGAGCCCCATTCTGTTATTTCTGTCCATTAAAACATGTCTTCACCATAGTTCAAGATCACCTATGTTGTCACAGGCTCATATTAACTTAATCTTAATCCTTTTCATTGCGGCATTCCACTTCTTATACAGTCCTCAGTTCATGCTCACTTCCTCTGAGTGGGGCCCAGAGTAATGTTTTATAGTTTGTTTAACTCCAAACAATCTCTATTAGTTAAAATTTTCTTGATCCTTTTTGGACCTACTCCTTGGTGTTTCTTGATGCATTCTAATTTGTAGTGTTATTATTACTAGTTTTCCCATATTTGTGTTAACATTTTCTCTACTGTGTTAGATTGACTTAATTGAGAAAGGAATCCAGCAATTCTGCAAAAAGGAAAGGTTTTTGAGATGACCATATATTGGTCGTC